CTTTCCAGCATTTTTTTTATTTTTTGGGATCTTATTCTGATCAGCAGTCCCATTGCTGCTCCTCCTAAAACCCGCTCTCTCTGTCAGCAGAGAATCATCTAGCTGTCCCATTATAACCCTGGGTTTCCTCTACTATCTGATTTTATTGGTGTTTTAATAGAATAATCAATTATATTTTAGTCTTTAAATACACTGGAACATAAACCCCTGACCAGGAAACAGAAAGTGGAATTTCAGACTGTTATAATCCTAATGCTAAAATAAACAGAGCTAAGCTGTAATGAAATAATCACATTTTAACTGAATAAAACATCTCCTAAAACGGTCTTCTTTAGCAAAGCTTCATAGAGAAGTTAACGTCAAACTAAATTTCTCAGAACTTACCTTGAAGCATAAAAAGCAGCAGTTTCAGGTGTCGCTGTAATCACAGCTAGAAGCACTTCCCTTCTGTTAACAACAGGGAATCACCTGTGTGACGTCACTCTTTCTGATTGGCTAGAAACTACATTCTTTCTCTGAGTTATAATCAATGAATGTTATCTCAGGTTTCTGTGAATGTTTCATTATAAAGCTGTTCTTGTTTATTTGTTTATTTTATTTTATTTTGTTTATTTTAACTTACACATAAGATAAATATGTATTTTTGTTGTTTTGAAAAATGACAAATTAAATAACATACGTTCATATTTTTAGAAGTTCTGTTGGTAGTAATAGCAAATGGATTAAAGAGTTCAATAAAAGAATAAAATCACAGAAATATTGTGCAATGTCAGCATAAGGAAATCGCACATGTTGTCCTTTGCATGTTGTTCTCTATAAGCCTTATGGGGGATTCACTTCCCCTAAATTATTTTTATTACAGAATAAGTTGGAGGAGACACTGAGAGGAACTGCAGCATGTTTGGAGTCTGCAGCAACTTTCTGAAGACTTTGAGTCTGCATGATAAGCAGAACCAGACATTGTGGACCTACAGTATGGGACAGACATGGGGGATCTGGAGCAACAAGTCATCTCTATGTCATGTGTTTTTCTTTCCAGCCACTGAACCAGGTGAGTCAAATCTGCAGTGAATGAACCTGTCCAGACAAATAGATGACATAGAGGTGGCTTGTTGACTCCAGATCCCCCATCTCTGCTATGGGATCAGTGATGACTGTCAGCAGAATCTGATTTTTTATTTATTTATCTATTTATTCTGGTGGCCCACTAAACAGTGCAGTATATAGATATTAATTTAACTGAGACTTAAAGACTGGTGTTTGAGTTTTGCACTTTAATATTTTTATACGTTGGAAATGTCTTTATACAATGGCTATATGTCTATAAAAAAAGATTTTATGTGTTTTAGAAATAAAGTTTAATTAACTGTATCAGGGATTAGTCTAACTTATTACAAGTTTGGTTCTGTGAATAATTTATTTAGCAAGGTTTCATTATCTGGGAGTCAGATAGAATTGAGCAGGAAGAAAGAAAAAAATGTCTTGGGTTTGTTTATGTCACTATGCACGTGGCTATGACTCATAACAGGCGGGGCTATTGCATGTCCTCCTTTTAGAGACATGCTCCACTCCTTCTTACAGCAGTTCAGTGATGCTACACGTACAATCAACAGTCAAGAACGACGCGCTACAGGCTGAGATGGGAGAGCTGCAGGTTTCCTGTGATCATTCAACATTTTCTATTTTTACCTTCTGCCTGCTTTTTATCTGGACGCCTGTTAAAGGTAAGAATAGGTTCCACTAAATGTGACTGATGGGAAAGTGTTCCTAAAAACTGTTAAAAATAATTACTTTAACAGTTGTGAACTAATGTTATGATAATGTTGAAAGCAAGGGTGTAACTTTGTTATGAAAGTGGGTAGGGACTCTCTAAGGGTGGGGGCTGATGGACCTACAGTTACTCGACACAAACGCTTTCAATAAGGTTTGCATTTTCCAAAACTGAGCTCAAACATTTTTTTATTGAATGCTTTCCTATTGTTGAGAACACAAAAGAACCAAAATACACTGATATTTATATCTATGGGTAGATATAAATATCACAATAAGTTTGACAAACCAGTCAAACCTATTGTGTTTAAATGTGAACTTTTTTACTAGTTAAAAAACAAACCAAAAGTAACCTGCAGAAATGCACCACTAAGCATTTTATAAAATATGCCTTATGGCCCAGCATATTAACTAAAGTCACACATTTGTGATGCAGGGCAGCCATATTCCTGACAGATCGTTAGTCCATTTTTTCATGCACATATTTGATCATTGATTTCAGATAATCAGCATGTCGACCTCGATGAAATTAATTTTTAACCTGAAACAAAGATAAAAGCACATGAGTCACAATTAACAAAAAATATAGTTGTAAAGGACTTGTTGATTATAAAAGGCCAAGGTGAAAAGAGTGAAAACAGTGAATAAATGAACTGACTGATCACAGGACAATTTTTTGTGCAATATAACAAAATTAATCTGTATGGGAATAAATACTTTATTTTTCTTCCATCCATCCAAAGTTACAGCAGCAGCACAAGCTGCAGAGCTGACTGCCGGTAATGAGTTAAAAAAGAAACTTGCCAAACCTGTTGGTTCACTTTTCTGTCATCAACAGAATCTCATATATGCAGTTTAACAACACGACCTCACCCATCCAGAACTTTCAGTTCAAACGCTGCTTGATGCAAAGAGCTTAGATTAGATTAGATTAGATTAGATTAGATGAGCTTTATTGATCTCACAGTGGAGAAATTCACTTATCTCATACTGGCATAGAAGTTAAAAAAAAAAAAACCATAATGTAGCTGCACATTGGTTTTATGTGTTATTGTTGTTATAGTGCATTATTATAGAGTGACCTGCGGTAGCGCTCCTTCTTACAGACAGGGTGTCTAAGTTTCTGACTAAAGGAGCTGCTCTGGTCCTCTACAGTCTGGTGCAGGCGGTGAGAGGTGTGATGTCCATGATGGATGTGAGTTTGGACAGCATCCTCCTCTCAGCCACTTCCTCCACCGAGTCCAGAGGGCAGCCCAGGACAGAAGTGGCCTTCCTCACCAGCTTATTCAGTCTCTTTCTGTCCCGCTCTGAGCTGCCAGGTGCCCTGCAGACGACAGGGTAGGGGAGGGCTGAGGCCACCACAGAGTCATAGAAGGTTTTAAGGAGGGGCCTGCTGACTCCAAAGGCCCTCAGCCTCCTCAGGAGGTGGAGGCGGCTCTGGCCCTTTTTATACAGAGTGTCAGTGTTGTGAGTCCAGTCCAGTTTATTATTGACGTGAACACCCAGGTATTTGAAACACAGGAGGTCTTCCACAGGGTGGGGACCACCCCCAGGCTGAGGCTCAGGTTGTACATGTAGCTGAGGATCTGACAGAGCTCATCTGCACAGGTCCTCAGCAGCCTGAGGGGGAGGCCGTCTGGTCCTGAGGCCTTCTTCTGTTTCAGCCTCCTCAGCTGCCCTCTCACCTGCATTGGTGTTACTGTGAGGGGGGAGGAAGGCACGACTGAAGGTGTGGATGGGTCAGGGGTTGGTGGGAGTGGCGGCGGTGGGGGGGAAAGGTCTCTAGGAAGCTGGTGGTTGGAGGTGTGTGGAGAATTGAGGGCAGGGATGGGACCAGTGTGAGGGGAGTCAAACCGCTTGAAGAAGCTGTTTAACTCATCCGCAAACTTGGTGTTACCGTCTGCAGCCCTGCTGGTCCTCTGCTCAAAGCCGGAGATGTTCTTCAGACCTCTCCACACATCTCTGGCGTTGTTCTGCGCCAGCTGCTCCTCCATCTTCTTCCCATAGTCCTTCTTTGCCGCCCTGATCCTCCACTGGAGCTCCCGCTAAGCTCTACGCTGCTCCTCTCTATCGCCTGAGTGGAAAGCCTGTTTCTTCTGATTTAGGAGGACTTTCAGCTCAGTGGTCAGCCAGGGAGGGTTGTTTGGAAAACATTGTATCCGTCGTGTAGGCACAATGCTCTCCACACAGAAGGTCATGTAGTCATTGATGCATTCAGTCAGGCTGTTGATGTCCTCACCATGAGAGCTTTGGCACATGCTCCAGTCTGTGGTGCTGAAACAATCCCTCAGCTCTTCAGTGGTGTCATCTGACCAAACTTTCAATGACTTCTTCTGTACTATTGTCCTTCTCACCAGTGGAATGTAAGGGGGGGGGGGGCAGGTAGACAAGGTTGGGATCTGTACGACCCAGCGGGGGGAGGGGGGCAGAGGTGTATGCATCCTTGACATTTGCATAAAAAAGGTCCAGTGTTTTATTGTTCATGGTTGCGCATGTGACGTATTGTGTTAGCGTGGGGAGAGTGGAGCGGAGGGGGGCATGGTTGAAATCTCCTGTGATCAGCAGGAGAGCGCGGGGTGTTCGGTCTGTAGTTTGTTTACCACGCTGTGGATCCGCTCACAAGCAGCAGCGGCATCAGCAGAGGGAGGGACGTAAACGCACAGCACGATCACGTGACCAAACTCCTGCGGCAGATGATAAGGTCTTAAACTCACTGCGAGTCATTCCACATCTGAGCTGCATATCTGCTGCTTCACGTGAGCATGAGCCGCGCTGCACCATCTCTCATTCACAAACACCGCCAGACCCCCTCCTCTCTTTTTTCCGCTCTCCGCCAAAGTTCTGTCTGCGCTGTAGTCATATATTCACACAGAGAAGATCTGCAGACTGTAGATGTTCCTTGTCGTTTCTTTGTGATCTTGGAGGTGATGATTTATTGACTCGTCTTCTTCTCACAGAGAGGAAATGATCTGCTGGATCCTGCTGCTCATTATCATCATCAACTCATGTCTCTGTGGTCCCTCTCCATTTTCTTTTTGTCCTAAACCCAGTTGTTAGGTTTCAGGGTCACTGTGTCTGTTTATTGATGTTAAATTAGATGTTAAATTATTGATGTTAAATTAGCTCTAGTTAGCAGTAAAACTGATGGTTTACAGAGTATCAAGAGCCCAATGGCGACATCTAATTGTCAATGTGAACACATGAGGGTCAAAGGTCAGTGAAGGTAACACTTCAATCCTCCAGCTGCACTTGATCAAGCAGTTTGACTAGAAGAGAATCAAGCAGAGCTCTGACAGCACAGAGACCATCATGAGACAGAAACCTCTAGAGATGGAGTTTAAAGACTCCCATGTTCCAGTTCTCAGTGTGTCTCACTGCTCCTCTCTTTCCCTCTCTGTCTCCTCAGCAGCAACATTTGTAGTGAATGTGACACAGAGCTCCTATCAGGCAGAGGAGAACCACAACATCACTCTGGAGTGGACCTTCACCACAAGACCCAACAGAACCTGGATCATCTACTGTTGCGTGTTGACTCTTCCCAGAGAAATAGTCCTCTATTCAGTCTATGAAGATGTTGAAGAGACAGAGTTTACAGATGAACACTTTAAAGGACGAGTCCAGATGGACAAAGACGTCCTCAGAGAAGGACGGATCAGATTCCATCTGTCCAGACTGAGGACTGAAGACTCTGGACTGTATGTGTGTAACATCAGGACTGACTATGGGGAAGGTTCTGCAGACTGCAACGTTACAATCACTGGTGAGTTCCGGTCCCAGTAGAACCAAGATGTTTATTATATAGGAAGGGTAAAGATTCAACACTATACTCTTTTTTTTCTCTCCTGTATCATTCTATTCTTCTTTTTTTATGACTGACTCCAACTAATACTTTATCAGCTGTAGTTAAAGTCAAATTTATTGCTTCCTGAATAACCTCTTCTTGAACATTTTAATATAAACTATAAAATGTGTCCAACCTCCAGTCCCCTCTATACAACCCACTTTGAAACGCTGCTACATCCGTTTGTTATCAGAGTTTAGGATCAACCATAATATGGGAGATAAAACCAGGGATGGATCTTTACAAAGCTCAGACACAAATGAAACTGAGTTGGTTTTAATTTTAGTTTCCTCTTAAAATGTATTAATTAGTGTTGTTGTGTATTTCTTTTCTGAACTTTTGGAAACAGAACTTACTTTTGCATTATTGCTTCTCAAGAGATGTTTCCAAACAAAATGTTTTATTTTTTTTACACAATGACAGTAGATTCTTTTTTTTTATTGGGTGTAAAAATGGAAACAGAGACGGTTCCTGAGAGAAACCTCATCACTCCGACTCTACAGGATAAAACCATCAGTAACGGTCAGTCTGCAGGTTGAAACCAAAGATGTTTCAGTATTTTTTTAATGTCATTCTTTTTGTGTCTAATATTAAATTTTTTACTCCTTTTTTCAGGAGGTCGGTCCAGGCTCTTCCTTTTATTTCCTTTTATTTTCTTCATCATTTCTCCGTGTTTGGTTTTACTCTTCATTTCTAAAAATAAGAAGTCAGAAAAAACGAAATCCCATTTTGATCACATGATGCATTTTATAATAGTAAACTTGTTTTGTTTGCCTTTTTCAGCTCTAGGAAGAGTCCTTCTAGGTCAACCATCTACATTACAGAATGGAAACCTTGCATAAGGGCAAACTTGTGTTAATGTAGCTGAGATCAGAGCAAAGTCTTCTCTCCTTCATCTTTCTGAGGTCTCCAACTGTTCAATAAATTGCAGGAGACCCTGGAGATAGAAGGAGTCTTAATGATACCTTAGAAGCTGTTGATGAAACCAGGAGTCTTTTCAATGTTTAAAGGTAAATTATCGCTACTTTCTTTCCATTTTTATTCTGTCTTCTCTGTATAAAATTAACTGATTTGAAATCAAAGTTTATTCCTCTTGTTTATCAACAAAAACTGGAGGACTTTTACTCTCAATCACTCACTAACAGAGTATTTGTTTCTCACTGGACCTTTTCTTGTTCTTTTGAAGGTTTTTCCTGTTTTCCTGTTTGCAGTCAGTCTCTGCAGGAACCCAACAAACTTCACATCAAAACACAATCAGATGCTGTGGATTTATCTCCAGGAAGAGGAAAATCAGACATTTCGGAAATTGTGCATTGTTTTCTCACAGCAGTGATTTTTTTTTTCTCCCTCAATGCATTTTATCAAAGTACAGATAAAAAAAATGCTAACCCTCGGTTGGGGGGAATCTTCAAATTTCATGTATATATGTTATTTATTATTATTATTTTTTTATTATTGTTTTTTACTCTGTTGTAATTAAAGAAAGGCTACATATGTAAAGTGTTTCATAAATATTGATTTTTGTAATTATTCATTATTAAATAATAGTTATCATTATTACCTCCAACTACATGGCTAAGAACCTCATCTTTTCCTTTTCTACAACTCTCAACTGCCTGTAGGACACATTGGGCCGGATTTATCAAGATCCAGTTTTGCGTGCAGTAATTTGCGCTCGCAAACTGGAATTTTGCGCGAGGGGCTGGACCATGGTTTGCGGGTGATTTAACAAGAGTGATTGCGTAACTGGTGGCAGGTGCCAAACTGTTGGAGACGCCCTATTTAAATGATGGTTTTGCGCGTTTGGTGGTTTGCGGCATGGCGAGTTTGGACAGCAGAAAGCGCAAAAGGAAATTCGACCCCATGGAAATGGAGGTGTTGGTGGATGAAGCCAACAAACATTTAAGTGAGCTACAGCAAAGAAGTGTGACTGTCACACAGAGGAACGCTATATGTGAACAAATCTCTAATAAAGTAAACGCTGTTGGTGAAACCTTGCGAACAGTGGATGAAGTAAAAAGAAGATACCAGGATATTAGAAGGCGAACCAAAGAAAAACTGGCATATAACAAAACATCTGCGAACAAAAGAGGAGGGGGCACAGTAGATGAGATGCCTCTGACCAGCATTGAGGAACAAGTACAGCTGACGCTCTGTGAGGAGCAAATCACTGGAATTGCAGCTCCAAAATGGCAATGCTGGATAAACGAAATGTTTTGATGATCGTTTCCTCGTTCATTCCAAAAATATTCACACGGAGTGAAAAAATGCGTTCTCTGCGTCTCCTTGCTTCATTTCCATGTCTCCTTCTTGCGGCAATAACCGCTGCCATGTGTGCGCAATTACGCATACAGACCATTTGCACCTTCTTTTGAAACGTGTTAAATATAGAGTCAGATACCGTTAGCAAAATTGCTTTCAGGTTTAATAAATCACTTTGCGAGTGCTAAATTAATATATTTACATGTTCTCCTCCCACAAGACGCACTTTTGCGTGTAAACGCCCCATATTGCATATTCATTGCAGAAAAAGTACTAAATGGATAAGAGGCGCTATTTAGCACATTTTAAAGACCAAATCCTTTTAGCACGTTGTTGATAGATCAGTTTGTACATTTTTTAGCGTGCGCAGTGAAATAGCTCACGTTTTTATACACGCAAACCTTTGATAGATCCGGCCCATAATCTGTTCATTAAAATGGTCGAACCTATTTATACGTCTGAACAATATGCAATCTTTGCACATACAAAAAAAATGCACAAGCCTTATTATGAAGTGTAATGACAATAAAGTTGAATCTAATCATCTAATCTAATCTATGACGATCGGGCCATTAGTATCCTATAGAGAGGTTTGTTGTGTAAATACAGAATTTTCAAACTAACTTTGATATTTTTAATATTAAAATCTTTGTAATGCAACTAAATGGTTATTTTTTACTGAACAGGGGCTACATATGGAATGATTAATATGATGTACTCCCGCTAAAAATTTCCTAAACCTGACAGTAAAATGTTCCCATGGGAATCGTAACAATAGAACTTAGCAGTTCATACTGATAGACCGACCCCAGATAAACCCAGGCTGAGTCTGCTGAGCAGGTCCTTCTTCACCTGGGAGGAAAAAAAACAATTTTATGTTAATCTACTGCAAAGAACTGCACTTTATTTAATTTTTTTAATATATATATAAAACACTTGTAATTAAAATGTTCTCTAGAAATAAACCTGCTTTGATGGTTAAAGAATCCAAAGACCAATGATTTTAGGACTTAGAGTATTTTATTATAACAGATCCATTGTTCTAGATCATCAAAGCTTATTGGTTAATAATTATATATATATATATCATTTAATTTTTATAGTGATTTAGTTTGATATTTTATTTGCTTATTTAATTTAGTTAAATGTTAATTTTCTCATGTTTGTAAACTCTTTATTAAACAGCTCTCTCTTTAAAACAACATCTAGGATTTTATGGGGATTACATGTAGAAATAGAATAAAAGAAACTATCATTATAAAAACATCATATGTCATTTAAACTGGTGGATTAGCCGTTATGGAAACACCTGATTCACCAGTGATGACATGTCACGTGAAACCACTTCTGGATTTTATTTTTTTTATAATTATGTAGAACAAAGGAAAACCACAGACACACGTGAGAATTAAAAATAGCTTCGATGTGGAAACTCTTCTTCAGGTTGGTGACATCAGCAGTTTGGACTCTGCAGCCAATGCGTTCCTTGAGGCTAATATTTGACTCAGTAATAAATGTAGAACAATCTGAAGCTTCAACCTCAGTTTATTTTAAAGTAACATTATTCTTTTGTGTCCTCCTTTTGTCCTCTGTCCTCATCTCATCCCATCCTCCTCTTGACCTCTGTCCTCATCTCATCCCATCCTCCTCTTGTCCTCTGTACCAGACATCTTTAAAAGGAAATGAGATAAAAGTCAAAAGAAGGAACACATTGAAACTTAGAGATGTTTTTCATATAAGACAAAAACACAACCTAATTATAAACTCTGGATTTCCACATCTGCATTTTGACAGTTTTTTTCCTGTTACCCTTCATTGTTTTTAACCAAAGTAAATTAAATGTTGAGGAAAACCTTTAAAGGGTTTTATTCATACATGACAGCAAATTGTTAAGATTTTTCTGATAGGAGAAACAATAAACTTGTCATGTTGAGTTAAATATTCCTTTAATAATGTTTCCTGTTTATGTAATGATGTCATTTATCAACGAGATACAAGAGCTTTAGAGACTAAATATTTACACAACAGGCTGAAAACGGTAGCGCTCCTCAGGGTTTTGTTTTTCTTACTACGCTAACATGAGGGTTGATAGTTTCAGGCACGAGCAGAGAACCAGTATTCAGACTGTTTGTATAAACAGTTCAGCAGATGATGAAGCATCAGGTGAAGTCATCCTCCTACTTCTAGATCATCATACAGCTGATCATCATCTATGCACAGAAACCCAGACCTCTCTATGCTGCTGGTTATTAGACCTGATCTATAGAATGGAGACCAAAACTGACCCTATCTGATTTTATTTTTTTAAACAAATACTTTTTCAACTAACCTGCCCCTGCAGCTTCAAAATGAGCTTGATCTTGAGCTGAGAAAACAACTTTGATAAAAACATTATTAAAATTTTATAAACTGATCACATGTTGAAGCTATTTATATTATAAATTTTAACAAATGCTGTTTTATTTTTAATGTTTAACTATCAAAGACATAAAGCGTATGATTTCTGAAAGGATAAGGAATCCACACAAATTTCGAAGAGAAAAACCTAGTTATAATACATTTCCAGTAAGTAGAATAATAAAATAAATAAATAAATAAGATCAAAACTACGACGGCGTATTAGGGCCAGGCTAGATTATTTTTTTATTTTTTTATTTTGAGAATAAAGTTGTAACATTACGAGAACAAAGTCACAATATTATGAGAATGAAGTCATCATTCAACAACCCGTTTCACAAAGAAAGCTTCGAGCTCCAACCAGCAGATGATGGCCGACCAGCTCCACCAATCAGCAGCCAGAGTCCACTTTGACATGCTGCCCAGTTTGATGCTGGTGCTAAAAGATTTCCTTATTTGTCAAACCAGAGCCAAAGTATAACTTCATATGACGCTCGACGTTCCTCATTTTAGGGAAGAAATAGAAGAAAAAAATCTCTAGCCTGGCCCTAATACTCCATTGTAGAAAACAAATTAAAAAAAAATAAAGCTAATGTAGTTTGTGAAAATAATGTGCAGCAAAATAACACTAAAACCCCTTTATAAATTATACTAAAAGATATCTTTCCTTTATTTAAAACTGATTCCAATCTTATTTTTTTAGCATCATCAAGAGCCGCAGCACATAGAAGAGCTATAGACACACATCTGCAGATCCTGGATCAGTAGGAGCTCAGAACTGCTGTCCTGTTATATCAGATCTCTGCTCTACCTCATAACAGACAGAAAACAAAATCTGATTGTCATAAATCCTATTCTGTGTGGTGAAAATAATGATTGGAGAAGTAGAATTTGCTCTGAATTTGTTTTAACAAAGCTTTTCTTGCTGTGAACTGAATGTAATGTTTCATTGCTGTTATTCAGGTACAACGTGAATGACAACTATAAATTAAATAATCAATGCTGCTTTGAAGATTTAGGAGGGAAAATAACATCAGGGGTTTTTCCAATCTAAGTAACACATTAAAACAAAGTTTCACCAAAACTCCTTCTGTTTTCACTTTCATCAGAGATTAGAAGCTGAAACTGGGCCAAGGCAGATACATCTATAAAGGTTAATAAAACATGTGATAAACAGACACAGAACTAACAAAATGCAAATCTATTATTATGATTTAGCTGCTGATCCTTTTGGAGATGTTTAAGTGCATTGACGGCGCCTTACACTGCATGAAAAGTGAGATTTTCGTCAATATGCGGCACTGTAGATTGTCATTGAAGTTCAGGTTAACGGCAGGTTACGGTAATTTGCAGGCATCGCAGAAAACTCCCATAAATTGTCAGAAATTGACGTGGAATTTCTTAGGCAGTGTTCCCCCCATGCCTCCCCCCCATGGAATTCTAGGGGAGGCTTTAACATGTAAATGAACATGCTGTGAGCTATACAAATGCAAACCAGGGTTGCAGGGGGGGTTTTACTCCAAGTGACATTTTTCTAAAAGGTAAGAAAATCTCTGATACAAAGAGATCAGGCTCAGTATAGCCTCTTACATTTTAGCTTGAATTGATTTATTTAATTAAAGTATAGAGACCAAAACAGATCTTTAGCTGACAGAGCAATACATTTAGAGCAGTAATTATTTTAAAAAAATGTGCATTTAAGATAAAAAATTAAATGTTGTCTGTCAATATGCTCAATTCACAATTACTTAAGTGGAAAAGTTTCAAGAAATGAGTCTGAGATGATTCACTTTATAACATGGCGCATTATCCTGTTGGAAGTAGCCATCAGAAGATTGGTACACTGTGGTCATGAGGACATAAGGTCAGCAACAATGCTGAGGTAGGCTTCCTCATTTATTTGATGCTAAATTGGTATTAAGTGGCCCAAAGTGTGGCAATAAATATCCCCCAAATAGATGGTACAAATAG